TTCTTCTAGAAGTGTTAGTTTATTCCAAAACAAATCCCGCAAGTGTGGTTAAATCTAACTTATAAATACCCCAGATCAATCAACGTTCTCACCAAACTGTTACGTATCAGACATATCGGTTGGGATTATTTATTAAGGTGACAAATTGCCATCAGACATACATGGTTGGCATGCGTCATACCTTTACGACTGGCTATGACGAAGCTATACTTGTCAGTTATGACTTAAAACCTCAACAACAGCTCTAGAATGTCAGCTTAATGTGGGAGGAAATCCCAAGGGCGTTTACTGTCATTTAAGGAATGTATACATAGTAAGGGCAATTATGACCCAGTCGTGTATGGTTGCATCCAAGGACAGCTTTCGCCTACGCCTTGTCTATGCTGTGAGTTAGATTTAGAAAATATTGACGTCATTCAGTTCTGGAGAGGCGTTGTCACAGATCGTATAAGTTACGCTTTGGTTAAATAAAACTTGCGCTAATATCAAGTCGAATGGTCTTGACAGTAATGTGTAATTGCTCTAAGTAACCTTTTTATTTTCTCCTCCCTATAATTATATGTATTCTCGTGTTCGCTCATTTAACACTTGTCTGTGACGTTGTTTGTGACGAGACATAACACATCACTGACACCAGCTAATTTCACACAATCACGACACTTTTCTCTTGTATGTACTGTGATGTATATATTGTTTTGCATCATTGAAAAGACACCCTAATACAGTACCCGCAACATGAAAATATACCTTCACACGCCATGTGACCCAATCGATTGCTATCCAAAGGATTTTTACATGTACAATAAACTACAATTATAACGAACTCGAAGGGTCCACTAATTCTAGTTCGTAATAACTGTAGTTCGTTATAAGCATATATGCAACATTTATAGAACAAATGGTCGGGACTGAAAAAATATGTTCGTTATATCGGTCAGTTCGTTATAAGCGTGTTCGTTATAAACGTAGTTGACACGTACCATCATGAACAAAGAAACAATGCGCAAATGGAATGTTTTTCACGTTTCTTTTCTATTTTCAACGAAAGTTACATTAAAAACTAGACATGTCCACCGCGTGATTCGTTGAATATTTTGCAAAACAAATATAACTTGGTTTTTATGCAGCAGGCAGCACTTTTGCAAGACAGATTTATTTGTTTGTTTTTTCCATCTTTATCACGGCGGCCTGTAAATAATCAAGTCTCGGACAAACAAACTAGTGATTGATGTCATGAGCAATGTCCTAAGGGTGTCCGATGCCACATGCAAAAACCGAGTCTAGAAATATTTAGCTGCAGTTATATGTGAAATATCTAGCAATATTTAGCTGCAGTTATATGTGAAATATCTAGTAATATTCAGCTGCAGTTATATGTGAAATATCTAGAAATATTCAGCTGCAGTCATATGTGAAATATCTAGAAATATTTAGCTGCAGTTATATGTGAAATATCTAGAAATATTTAGCTGCAGTTATATGTGAAATATCTAGTAATATTTAGCTGCAGTTATATGTGAAATATCTAGTAATATTCAGCTGCAGTTATATGTGAAATATCTAGAAATATTCAGCTGCAGTTATATGTGAAATATCTAGAAATATTTAGCTGCAGTTATATGTGAAATATCTAGAAATATTTAGCTGCAGTTATATGTGAAATATCTAGAACAATTCAGCTGCAGTTATATGTGAAATATCTAGAACAATTCAGCTGCAGTTATATGTGAAATATCTAGTAATATTCAGCTGCAGTTATATGTGAAATATCTAGAACAATTCAGCTGCAGTTATATGTGAAATATCTGGTAATATTCAGCTGCAGTTTTATATGATATTATATAATCACACATAACAGCAGTTATGTTTGTTGTTTCACGCCGCGCGAGAAATATTTAAGCTATATAATGGCGGTCCGTTAATAAACGAGTCTGGACCAGACAATCCAGTGATTAACAGCATGGGCATCGATCTACGCAATTGAGATACAATGATATCCTTCAACCAAGTAAACGAGCCTGACCACCTAATCCCGTTTGTCGCTTAATACGACAAGGATAATCACCTTTTACGACAAGCATGGGTTATGAAGACCCATTCTATCCCGGAGCAGTTAAATAGTTGTACTGTATCTACCAGTAGCTATTGTCAAGTAATATATCGTTAATGATATCCTCATCTCGTTGCCATGTTTTCTTTTATTGACTAGTTATGTGACGTACATACACAGGCGTATTATACACCTTGCCTTTTGCTCTGTTGAATTTATTTTTATGTTTCAGTGGGATTTTTGTGAATATTTTATGGCCGTTTCAGTTACTTTTGTCACCGGAGATACCTCGAAATGTCATCCAAAGGAGGTAAGGTGAGGTGAGGTGAGGTGAGGTGAGGTAAAATGGGGTTTACCGTGGCGTCTAAAATTATTGCACTTATATAGCGACGTGCAGGCACGTGCGTGTGTGGCTACTTGTACTAGTCCGGACTGATGCCGATTTATAGTGCCAGCACACTGAGATACCATGCCGCAGTTTAACATGAATGCATCACTCAGACACAGTAAACTGACTACGAGCCGACCTGTCCTTGTTTTAGCCCCTTAATGCCGAGCGCGAGACTGGGTAACAATACGTACCATCTTTTGTCATGACGCGGCCGGGATCGAACCCTGGACCTATTACTGGACGAATAACAGCTTCTACTGACAAACCCAGTTTAAAGCACCCGGTACATAACAATGTGTACTCCGAGTGCACTATACATAGCACTTCAGGTTGCCCTTGATTACTCAATTTTCCCTCCCTTTAATCAAGAAATACCATCAAGGAGAATGTGAAGTGTATTAAGGTTGAATACATGGCCTGTTTTGTGGATAGCAACTTATTTAATTCTTTGTCACGACGTTTCAGAGCTACTTCTTGCTCCTTCATCAGGTGAATGCCCAATGCACTCATTCAGCTAATGAAGGATTGGGGTAGCTCTGAAACGTCATGACAAATAGTAAAAGAAGTTGCTGTCCATTAGTGGTGTCAGGTATTCATGTACTTCCAACTTCTTAACGCCTACCAAAGACTGTGTAAAGATTGCCTAGGGGTGTTGTAGCCTCCATCGGTGTGGGTTAAGTTAAAAAACTTGCGAGTTCCATCAGAGATCTTCAAGTGAAAATACGCAAATGTAGATGCGACGTAGCGGTTATAACTTTTCGATAAGGCCATCGTCGGAGACCTGTTGTAATTTACAAAAGCATGACATAATTCCTAATTGTAACTATTGCGCTGTGCATATGTTGCCGTTCATAAACTTTGATACAGTTCTCATACGCAGGTCATACGCTCTACATACCCCGTCCGTACATCATACGCAGGTCATACGCTCTACATACCCCGTCCGTACATCATACGCAGGTCATACGCTCTTCATACACCGTCGGTACATCATACGTCTTTCGTAACCGTTCACACACGTCTCTTACACTTTCCACAAGTCGGCTGTATGTTGACGGTTCAAAAGCCATTTAAATACGTCGTGTACACTGTTCATATGTCTTTCATAATCCAATCCTTCGGGCTCCCCCCCCCCCCCCCCCCCCCCACACACACACACACACATTAAGCTGACACGCCGCGATATAACTGGAATACTGTTAAAAGCGGCGTTAAACCCAACTCACTTGCTCACTCACTCATAATCCAATCTCATTAAAATCAGATCTAGAAGTTCTCGCTGCCGCTAAACAGAGATCTGAGGACATCCCATTGCGGGTCACGTCAGAACGACCTTTCGAGAACTTTGACCCACCACTGAAATGACTAACAAGAAGTCAACATCAGCCAATTAGAAAGCAGCTTTCTCGAGCATTACGGCACTCGTTTCAACATGGCGACTTCCATTTCAGACTACGTTTGAAAAATATGTTTACACAGTTCTCGATTAAAATTTAAAAAAATGAACAAACGAACATTCCGGAGTCTAATATATGGTTGAGATTGTATAGCAGCGCTTCCAACATACTGTGCAAAGCCTCCTCCGCTCATGTGTTTATCCCATGGAAGCGAGAGACAGACAATAAGTTTGACAGAACCAGTCGTACGGGTCGTAACTGTCGTTCGGAATACCCCGTTTTAACGTTTTCAAGGTTGCATGATTAGAAAACACATTCCAACTGTCATTTTCATGATCTGGTAAGCTACGTTTTGATTAGTCGGATGAAAGGTCGTAATGGGATGTCCTCAGATCTTTGTTTAGCGATAGCGAGAACTAAGATCTGATTTTTATGAGATGGGTCATAACCGTTCACACACGTCTTATACACTTTTCACACATCGGCCGTATGAAGACGGTTCAAACGCCATCTGAAAACTGTTCGTATACCGTCCGTACATCGTTCATACACTGTACACAAATCAACCGGCGATCATTGATCGAATTTTGTCACAGTGCGAAAACAACCATAAGCTTCAGACATTTCCTGTTCAAATATGTTCACTGTTTTTTAATTATTATCGAAAAACATATGCTCGAAAATCCATATGGCGTTTAATGTTTTTATTCATTATTGTAGGTTATCCAGTTTTCTACGTCCAGGGTAATATAACGGTACATGTATTAAAACAGTAAACGGGCTGTGTAACGGAAGTGTTTACCATATTTTAGATTCTCATGAAAAGATAAAAAGAATGGGAACACCTGGTTTCTAGGAGCTCAAATCATGAAAACAAAACATTAACATATATTTTAAAAACAAAAATGCAGTCAATGCTACATACAAACTGCAAAGAACAATTAGAGAATGAATGCGACGGGAGCCTGGAAGTAGGTAATGAACACACAAAGGTAATAACGCATATCCGCAAATGGCCGGACAGTGTCATTGATGTGTATGACCGCCTCTTTGGTGTGTACACTCCCTGCAACGACGTAGCATTGACCGCACTAATGTCCGCAGTGTTGTTGGGGGTGGGTAGCCATTCTGCTTGGATCAATTGGAACAGCTGTTGCTGATTTGCTAATGACATCTTATATATGGGATATATTTTCCTCGTGAATACAGTCTTCTTTCTAAAACACTCAACATTTCCAGATGATATCATTTCCAGATATTTCCTGGGAATACGTTGGGAACAACGTCAACATTAGTTTGAAATTTTACTTTCCACATCAGATCTTTTGGGGTTCTTTGTTTCACTATTTGTCCTAATCGCCGCTACCATCAGCCTCACCACTTGTATTGTTCAGGCATTCGCTGCTTTCATTGTCAAGTGTCGTACAATCTGAAGGCACATCGGTTGCCAACTCTTTTGAACCTTCATATGAATCCGTTGTGTCGTCTCCTGCAGCCGCTGAATCCGCTGTGTAGTCTGCTGCAGTCGCTGAAACCGTTGTGTCGTCTGTTGCAGTTGCTGAATCCGTTGTGTCGTCTAAAGCAGTCGCTGAAACCGTTGTGTCGTCTGTTGCAGTTGCTGAATCCGCTGTGTCGTCTGCTGCTGTCGCTGAAACCGTTGTGTCGTCTGTTGCAGTTGCTGAATCCGTTGTGTCGTCTCCCGCAGTCGCTAAATCCGTTGTGTCGTCTGCTGCAGTCGCTGAAACCGTTGTGTCGTCTGCTGCAGTCGCTGAAACCGTTGTGTCGTCTGTTTCAGTCGCCGAATCCGTTGTGTCGTCTGAAGCAGTCGCTGAAACCGTTGTGTCGTCTCCTGCAGTCGCTGAATCCGTTGTGTCGTCTGCTGTAGTCGCTGAATCCGTTGTCTCGTCTGCTGTAGTCGCTGAATCCGTTGTGTCGTCTGATGCAGTCGCTGAATCCGTTGTGTCGTCTGCTGCAGTTGCTGAATCCGTTGTGTCGTCTGCTGCAGTCGCTGAAAACGTTGTGTCGTCTGCTGTAGTCGCTGAATCCGTTGTCTCGTCTGCTGTAATCGCTGAATCCGTTGTGTCGTCTGATGCAGTCGCTGAATCCGTTGTGTCGTCTGCTGCAGTTGCTGAATCCGTTGTGTCGTCTGCTGCAGTCGCTGAAAACGTTGTGTCGTCTGCTGCAGTCGCTAAATCCGTTGTGTCGTCTGCTTCAGTCGCTGAAACCGTTGTGTAGTCTGCTGCAGTTGCTGAATCCGTTGTGTCGTCTGCTGTAGTCGCCGAATCCGTTGTGTCGTGTGAAGCAGTCGCTGAAACCGTTGTGTCGTCTCCTGCAGTCGCTGAATCCGTTGTGTCGTCTGCTGCAGTCGCTGAAACCGTTGTGTCGTCTGCTGCAGTCGCTGAAACCGTTGTGTCGTCTGTTTCAGTCGCCGAATCCGTTGTGTCGTCTGAAGCAGTCGCTGAAACCGTTGTGTCGTCTCCTGCAGTCGCTGAATCCGTTGTGTCGTCTGCTGTAGTCGCTGAATCCGTTGTCTCGTCTGCTGTAGTCGCTGAATCCGTTGTGTCGTCTGATGCAGTCGCTGAATCCGTTGTGTCGTCTGCTGCAGTTGCTGAATCCGTTGTGTCGTCTGCTGCAGTCGCTGAAAACGTTGTGTCGTCTGCTGTAGTCGCTGAATCCGTTGTCTCGTCTGCTGTAATCGCTGAATCCGTTGTGTCGTCTGATGCAGTCGCTGAATCCGTTGTGTCGTCTGCTGCAGTTGCTGAATCCGTTGTGTCGTCTGCTGCAGTCGCTGAAAACGTTGTGTCGTCTGCTGCAGTCGCTAAATCCGTTGTGTCGTCTGCTTCAGTCGCTGAAACCGTTGTGTAGTCTGCTGCAGTTGCTGAATCCGTTGTGTCGTCTGCTGTAGTCGCCGAATCCGTTGTGTCGTGTGAAGCAGTCGCTGAAACCGTTGTGTCGTCTCCTGCAGTCGCTGAATCCGTTGTGTCGTCTGGTGTAGTCGCTGAATCCGTTGTGTCGTCTGCTGTAGTCGCTGAATCCGTTGTGTCGTCTGCTGTAGTCGCTGAATCCGTTGTGTCGTCTGCTGCAGTTGCTGAATCCGTTGTGTCGTCTGCTGCAGTCGCTGAAAACGTTGTGTCGTCTCCTGCAGTCGCTAAATCCGTTGTGTCGTCTGCTTCAGTCGCTGAAACTGTAGTGTCGTCTGCCGCAGTTGCTGAATCCGTTGTGTCGTCTGCTGTGGTCGCCGAATCCGTTGTGTCGTGTGAAGCAGTCGCCGAAACCGTTGTTTCGTCTGCTGTAGTCGCTGAATCCGTTGTGTCGTCTGCTGTAGTCACTGAATCCGTTGTGTCGTTTGCTGCAGTCGCTGAAATCGTTGTGTCGTCTGCTGCAGTTGCTGAATCCGTTGTGTCGTCTGCTGCAGTCGCTGAATCCGTTGTGTTGTCTGCTGCAGTCGCTGAAACCGTTATGTCGTCTGCAGCAGTCGCTGAATCGGTTGTGTCGTCTGCTGTAGTCGTTGAATATGTTGTGTCTTCTGCTGTAGTCGCTGAATCCATTGTGTCGTCTGCTTTAGTCGCTATATCCGTTGTGTTGTCTGATGCAGTCGCTGAATCTGTTGTGTCGTCTGCTGCAGTCGCTGAAACCGTTGTGTCATCTGCTGCAGTTGCTGAATCCGATGTGACGTCTGCTGTAGTCGCTGAATCCGTTGTGTCGTCTGCTGTAGTCGCTGAATCCGTTGTGTCGTCTGCTGTAGTGGCTGAATCCGTTGTTTCGTCTGCTATAGTCGCTGAATCCGTTGTGTCGTCTGCTGCAGTCGCTGAATCCGTAGTGTCGTCTACTGCAGTCGCTGAAACCGTTGTGTCGTCTGCTGCAGTTGCTGAATCCGTTGTGTCATCTGCTGCAGTCGCTGAATCCGTTGTGTCGTCTGCTGCAGTCGTTGAATCCGTTGTGTCGTCTGCTACCGTCGATGATTGGGTGGTATCGTCTTCTACCGTTGATGATTGGGTTGTATCGTCTGCTAACGTTGAGGGTTTGATTGTGTCGTCTGCTACCGTTGATGGTTGGGATGTGTCGTATGCAACCGACGATGATTGGGTTGTATCGTCGCTTGACGCTGTTGAAGTTGTATAATCAGCAGCTGTTGAAAATTCTGCCTGACCTGTGAATAAATAAATGATGTCATAGTCATTGTTAACAATATGATCAAAATATATACATACACCACAGTCTTTTAACAACTTCATTTTATCTCTGAAACATCAAATAATCAATCGAGCCTTACATTTTCTGAAAAAAGAAACATAAAACTTTCTATTTGCTGCTCAGAATCAGCCATTTCCCACTCAAAACCGCCAATGTGTGATTTTCCACCAAAATGTGAATATGAATAAATTTAATGAGACTGTCCAACACATTGTCAGTGGATGCCCAGCTTTGGCACAAACACAATGTCTTAAGCGACATGATGGAGTGGCTCGATCCTAGTATTATCGTCTTCGCCATGCTTGTGATTTTGACACAGAGGTCTATCCATTGTACGACCCAGAATATGTTGAGAGCGTTATGGAAAATGATAAATACAAAAAACTGTACATACTACTACTACTACCTACTTTGCCAGAGGGGGCGATCGGGTAGTCTTGTGGTTAAAGTGTTCGCTCGTCACGCCGAAGACCCGGGTTCGATTCCCAATATAGGTACAATGCGTGAAGCCCATTTCTGGTGTCCCCCGCCGTGATATTGTTGGAATATTGCTTAAAGCGGCATAAAACCATACTCACTCACTTGAGTGTGTAATATTTTCCAGCTGTACCAAAGCCGCCTGTAAATAACCTGTCTGGACCAGACCACACACCCCTTTCAAGCGAAATAGATCGCTAGATACCTCTCGAAGTGGAGGAAAGAAGCTGCGTGTATAAAAAAAACTACCAGAGAGACATTTTGTAGAAGATGTATTGCACGTTTTGATAATCGATACTTTGTATGACCAATTTAGGGAAAATCTGTTTGGACAAGTCCATTTTATGAACAGGTGGGTTTGGTTATTTCCCGCATATTGTCACAGTCCTCACGTCGATCATCTGTACCGTTCTCGTAAAACCGATTGTTCCCCCGCTTTTGGAATCATGCTCTTTTTGTAGGTTCATGAAGTGAGTGAGCGAGCTGTGTCCGACGCCACTTTTAACAACATTCCAGTTACATCACGGCATGTCAGCTTAATGTGTGAGGAACGCCCGAAGTGATGCAGGTCTCAGACGTTTACCACTTCTGTAACCCACGAGCACGGGTATGGTGCTGACAAACCTGGAAACATAATCGGGGCGAACCGGGATTCGAACTCACAAACATAGGTTTCAGGCATGTCCAAGGAACGCAGCTCTGCACTGTGAATCGCGGCGCCAAATACGTCTTGCGAGACAGAAAGGGATATCACGGTTTGTATGATACGGTTAACATGATCCAAAATTCAAATATTGGTGCATATCAGTATCTTTATAAAAAAAATCAGTTTGTTAAAATCCAGACCAGATATTAAATTGATTTTTACATAAAGAAAAGTTGAATTGGATTCACTTTTTCCCCGTAGTGAAAATAAGTAGGTAAGCTGATTTTCACGGGTTTTTAATATGATAAAACAGTCGTCTAAAACTCTTTTCCATGAATGTTCAATTTGTTCTGTCATAGATTCCCGAAGAGTATCTCTTACCTTATCATAAAACATATGCTCTAAAAATCTCAAAACAAGGGTTACCTTTGTCATTGGCTACTCCAATCTTTGTCAATAATGAAATCAATCAAAATAAAACATGTTATTGGTAATTAAATTTAATTAAATTAAATTAAATCTGATAGCTTCCATTCCGAGCTCAGTTTCAGTATAACTGTACAAACTAACAACATCCACACTAACTAGCATCGATCCTTCCGGTACCTCAGTACGTAATTTACTGGAAAAAATCAATGTCACTCTGAGAAAACTGGTTTACATGTTTACATAAGGGCTTAAGAATGACATCTGTGACATTGCTGAGACATTGAGTTACAGCTATGGGGTCGTCCAACTGGAAATAACTTCACAATGTTCATCATTAATTTACTTTTGAATTAATTTATTTGGTATGTACTTTGGGTTGGTCATGAGAATTAGCGGTCTTTGATTCCTTTTCTTTGTCTAAACTTTCATCATCATTCTTATCTAACAACTTTACCTTATTCTGGACATATGTTTTATTCTTTTTTTTAACTAAAAATGATGTGATATTGATCATAATTTAAAATGGACATTATCTTCTCTGATTGCGGGGCGGTGGGGTAGCCCAGTGGTTAAAGCGTTCGCTCGTCACGCCGGAGACCCGGGTTCGATTCCCGACATGGGTACAATGCATGAAGCCCATTTCTGGTGTCCCCCGCCGTGATATTGCTGGAATATTGCTAAAAGCGGCGTAAAATCAAACTCACTCACTCATTCTCTGATTGCTTTGTTCATAATAACAATAACACATCCTTATTCGACTTCTTTAATAACGTTTTTTTAATTATTTTTAAAGATAAGTACGGTCTTTCAATTCATATTCAGATATGTTTTGTTTGTTTTGCATGAATAGGAGCAATTTCAGTCTGTCACTAACGTCTTACAAATATTGTTCTCTCCCGGGATATATCTTGATGTATTTTCCACCAGACTTTCACCATTGTTCTTTCTTCCTGCGTCATCATCCTCTACAATGTGACGTCATAGTTCTCCTAAATTGTATGACGTCACGTTACTATACGTCATCCCCGTTAATCAGTATGGCCTGATGAGACTCTTCGTGGTAGAGTTGAAAGCGCTTGCCAATTAAAACTGTGTTCAATTTTACTCAACATTTATGAGGTATTTCATCTAATATGTATATTTATTATTGATCGTTCTAGAGGTCTCTCGTAACTCCATTTGGAGTGGCGCAGTCTTTATCAAATCGTATTTGATTTGATTTGATTTGATTTGTGTTATATCTGACATGAGATTGGAATAAATTATCTGCCTGTCTACGTACCCCACCAATCTCGGTTCAAACGGTCTAGATTGACATTGGTTACGGTTAAAAAATAATGTTGTTTTGTTTTCGTTGAAAACAACTCGAGAGAAAACTCTTGCTAGTCCGCCTAACATGAACAACAGTGCAATTATTCCAACGTTTACACACACAATCGATGAAGAAGAACTTTAGGTCCGGCATTGTTGTTAGCGTCGACCAGCTAATGTCTAATGTGAATAGCTATTCATTGGCCATGCATGGAGACATGGCGAAGCAGACAGACATCATATTGATACTCAAACATATTTCAGGGCTTCCTCTCACCGGGACATTACTGAGTGACTCAAACGGTTAATTACAAATATCGCGGTGCGGAAAGGTTAAGTTTAACGAACAAGACACAATATAAATATCACGTGGGTAACGATCATTTATGTTTTTAGTAGGACGATGTTGTGAAACCTCGTTAATCCGGACCGTACCGTTCCATCGATAATGTTCGGATAATCAAATATCCGGATTAACGAATCTTTGCTTAGGAGTGTCCTTCGTATAAAGAGTATACTACACTCGTCCTCGTAGATGCTATTTTTACGAAACGTGTGAACTTTCGCTCTGTCAGATACCATAGAAAGTTCACGAATTTCGTAAACATAGCATCTTACGTGGACGAGTGAAGTCATTTATGTATTACCTACACTTAGAAGAAATATAAGGGCGTCACACTAACCGGAAACTGGTTCGGTTGCGCATGAATAGTGAAATGCCCAAATTCAGACCTGCTTACATTCATACGCATACGCATTGGTAAATAGTTCCTGTCGGGTTGTGTATGAATACTGTGTGTGTATGCAGCTCATGTCACGGAATGACAGGTTTATTTGAAAGATTGAGTGAGTGAGTGAGTGAGTGAGTATGGTTTTACGCCGCTTTTAGCAATATTCCAGCAATATCACGGCGGGGGACACCAGAAATGGGCTTCACACATTGTACCCATGTCGGGAATCGAACCCGGGTCTTCGGCGTGACGAGCGAACGCTTTAACCACTGGGCTACCCGACCGCCCCTTTGAAAGATTGAAAACTAATTGGTATGCGTATAACGTCATGAATAGGATACACTAAAAAATACATGTAGAGTCCATCTTCGCCTCCCGTTGGAATGTCGGCCATGCCGTGAAGACGGTAAATCATACCGCCAGTACATTCAACGGGTACTCAGCATTGCTGCTGTGAATCGAGCTTACTTCCGGCCTATGGCGTTTCGGAGCAGAGAATTCACTGTGATCACCTTAGAAGTTAAAGGTTATAAATAGTGTCCTCTATGTAGGAGCAGAGAGAATGTCACAAAGTCGCACAGGGCTTACATGGATATACTGAAAAGGTTCAGCGTTGAGTGAGGTGAGGTGAAATGGGGTTTAACGTCATTATTGCACTTATATAGCGACGTGCATGTACGTGTGTGTGTTTGTGTGGCTGCTTGTACTAGTCCGGCCTGATGCCGATTTATAGTGCTAGCTCACTGAGATACCATGCCGCAGTTTAACATGAATACCCCACTCAGACACAGTATACTGACACCCAGCCGACCAGTCCTTGTTTTAGCCCTTTAATGCCGAGCGCCAGACAGGGTAACAACAAGTACCATCTTTTAACGTCTTTTGGTATGACGCGGTCGGGGATCGAACCCCGGACCTTCCGCTCTCCGGGCGGACGCTCTTCCTCTAGACCACGGAGGCGGTTCAACATTTTAGAGAACGGGAAGGAAAGGTCGCTAGGGATAATGTTGAACGCCAGATATACTGCTGCATTTTTTTACACACTGGATGTTTTCGTGACCTGAAAGATGCACGGGAATCTAATGGAGTGATTGAATCATGAATTTCCTGGCCGAATGATTTGTAACACGTTTTTCAGTTATTCTCACTGAATGGCATATTCTCTTCAATTCACAGTGGAAACAAGTTTATTTTTACTGTCATGTCCCCGTTTTAGACAAGGGTAGTTAAGGCCCAGTCCTAAAATGCGTCGCAATTGGATGTGCAGAGTTCTTTCCCTAAGCGTTCCGGAAATAGTTGATCGAGGGTTCAAATCCCGGTTCACCCTGATAAAGTTTCTAGGTTTGAAATAAGCTTTCTAGCCGCTAGAAGATGATATGAGTGAAATACTGTTTCAAATGGGCGTTAATTGAATATCCCTCGCTTACATCGGGTATAACGAGATCTAGCATCATTCGTCACCACTCGCCCCTTTCCGTAACCTGCAAGAAGACGCTATTCGGCTTGCCCGGAATAACACGAGTTGGTCACGAATGACAACAGCATGTGTAGAAAATCTCGAGGTCTCCACAGCAACACTATAACGTAATGAGTGAGTGAGTTTGTGGTTTCACCGATTTTAGCAATATTCCAGCAATATCGCGACAAGGGACACCAGAAATGAGCTTCACACATTGTTACCATGATGAAATCGAACACGGTACTTCGGTGTGGGCTAGCACTATAAAACCGGCATGAGCCCCCACTATAAGTGCAATAATCTTGAACGCGACATTTAACCCACATGTTCAAATGTTTAACTAGAATTATTGTTCATCTCATATAAGATCCACGTCCCAACATCATCTGTCACACACAAGTCCGTGTCAATCAGTCGTTGCTATTCTGTCCATCTCGAAATATTGTTCCTCTGAAAATATTAATATATCCATCGACGTCCTAACGCCACACCACATGTTCATGTTAATAATATCTTTGACATATTATGTCTTCCTTGACGTGCTGGCTTTCTCCAATCTTCTTAAAATCAGATCTTAGTTCTCACTATCGCTAAACAAAGATCTGATTGGGCTTTCTCGATCTGAGAATTCCCCTTGATTTCGGTTACTTCGTTACAGCAGGCATTCGCTATAATATATGTCTTATTTAACCTTGTAGGGGGCACGGGTGGCCCAGTCGTCTAAAGCGCCGCGATTCGCTGTGCAGAGTTGCGTCCCTTGGGCACGCCAGAAACCTATGATTGTGGCTTGGAATCCCGGTTCGCCCCAATTATGTTTCTAGGTTTGTCAGCACCATACCCGTGCTCGTGGGTTTCACCAAAGTGGTTAACGTCTGAGACCTGCATCACTTCGGGCTTTCCTCCCACATTAAGCTGACACGCCGTGATATAACTGGAATACTGTTAAAAGCGGCGTTAAACCCAACTCACTCACTAACTATTTAACCTTGTAGCATGTGTGAGTATTATACTAACATACATTGAGAAGACCCACCTGCGACCATGTACGCTTTTGCTCCAAGCACATGCTCCATTGTCAGGCTCCCTAACTCCTTCTCGTGAAGGTAGCACAGCCGCTCTATCCTCTTGTAGACGAATGATAGGCAGTTGTCTCCCCTTCCGGCACATTCTTTCCCACAAAGTGTCAAGGACACCCCACCAAGAACGGCAATGATATAATCAGCCCCAGTCTTACCATTGTACTGCTCTACCAAGCTAAACCTCCGTTCATGAATTATCATAGAAACAGTCCTAAACATCCCAGCTAGGGACACTAGGAAGAACACTATGTCCATGGTTATGTTCCCAAACATGTGTTCTGACCGACTTCATGTAGTTTAAGTTAGCTTTAACAACGGTTGACGTTGAACATGCCCGGATGTTTACTCCTTCACCTGCCTCCACGCCCCTACTGATAAGCAAAGTAAGTGATTCAACATTAAATATATGAATTCATATGGACCCTTACTGAAATATTCTAAAGGCTTGTTTAACAAAAGAGATCGATATGCTTTGTTTAAATCGATTGATGCAAATATAAGGATTGGAAAACGAACGGAGATTTTGTTGACGCCTCCACATATTGAAAACGTTCATCAGAGTTCTAGGTACTTGTCTTCAAGATCTTACAGATAATCAGTTAAAAGAGACTAAGTACTATAACCCTGGTTAAAAACACCTTTTATCAGTTTGTGAGTACATGTATGTTTCTTGGACTACTTTGTTGCCTCATAACGCATCACTTCAATGTTTAGACAGGAGATGAATTTGTTTGCAGCGCTGTTACTCTATTTGATCATTATACTAAAGGGTTTCAACACAACCGCACTGCATGAACACAATGTGCACTTTAACTGAACTAAACGTGTACAGTTATAAATAATTTTGCTGAGGTCCTCTCAAAACCGACAGCAGACTTTATTAGTATTAAATCAGTTACTTTGTGAATTAGCAACATGTTTATTTGTTGTGCAACCTGATTCAAGGAGGTCTTTACAGGCATTGTGTTATTTGGCAGTGGAGACTGTTGTAAGTTTATTTTTGGTGATTGTCAGGGGCAGCAATCGATTGAAGGGCTAGTAAAATGTGAAATATTGTTGATGCCAGCGAGTTATGTGCCCCTGGTTGTTTTCAAGGCAGCCTTGATCATTCGAAAAGTTTCAGGATGGGACAGTTCCTGAAAGACTGGCTGTACCTAAACTGCCTAGCAAAAGCACGTATACACGCATGTGTAATGGTGGCTAAGAATGGCACAAACCAAAAATGATTATTCGATGGGGATCTACTTGATAGAGTATAACCGTTGTGTTTTGGACATTAAGGTAATAGTGTTTCGGCGATTGTTTTCAGTCTAGTAACGCTTGATAACGTTTGTATTTGTTTGGTCAGATACAATTATTTAAATGTATAATTTCTTTTGTCCGGCAATTTATCGAAGCGCGATACGTGCACATTTAGGGGCCTGTTTCAAAACGTTCGACAGTGTCAAAAACTGAACGATATCATGAGTGCAGTTAATGAAGTAGGGCCTATTACTTACTGTAGCTGCCCCTTATTTTACCTGTCGTATTGGCTGTTTTGACCATAAGCCTACATTTGTGTTGGAATATTTTTAGTTGAGTATTCATAGATATTGTGTGGTCATTTACTGATTTAACAAGTAAGTGCTTTAAGTACCGGTTTCTGGGTTAACCTTTTCGTTTCAAAATAGAAATCACTTAATAAAATTGTACTACACACGACGGCAAAGTTGCGTTCCTTATGCGTACCAGGATCCTATGATGAGAAGTTCGAATCCCAGATTTACCCTGATTATGATTCTTCGTTTTTCAGCACCATACCCGAGTTTCTGGTTTTCAGGAATGTGTTAAATGTCTCAGACATACAGTTTACATCAATTTGGGCATTTATCTATAATTTACACACATTTATTGCACAAATACAATTAGTGTCTTCCAACGGCAAAGTTATCACATAAAGTCCCAAAAAACTTCCTATAAGCCTAATATGCCTATTAATTAGATTATTACCATTGAAATGGCTTAGTTATAGAATCATATGTACATTCGAGCAGCCAAACCGCAGCTAGAACAATCAACGCAGAGGAACCCATCCTTTCCCAGGCAAATCATTGACGTAGATGAAGAACGATGTGGGAGAAAGATGACGTCCTTGTTTGACACCATTCAAAATCTTGAAGCAGTCAGTACTAACTAAAAGCTACTCACTATCTGTATAGGGAGACTGCATAGCAGTCAATATTGGTCCTTTTACACCTGTTCTGACAATCTCCAGACACAATAAATTCTTGTTTACAGATTGAATCAAATACCTTTTTTTTATATCTATAAAACACAAAAAGTAGACTTTTTGTACATTTTTCTGTTATGTTTTACTCTTTTCAGTGATTGGATATGATCTTTACATGATATATTTTCTCTAAAACCATCTACAAACAGGTTGTAGTTATACAGACAAGTAGTAAGTCTGTTGACCAGAACCTTTGCATAGATCTAGTATGTTGTACACAACAGGGTAATTCCTCTGTGTGAGAGTAGGTCCATTTTGGTCTTCTGTTGAAGCTCAGGGGATGGATTTTATCTCACCACATCTCAGGGACTATTCCACTTTTAAAAGCGACGTTGTACATGGATCGAAGGATATCAGCACATCTTTAATTCCGTAAAACTTTCATCAGTATTTCATCAACCCCTGCTGTTTTCTCACTTTGTAAGAATATATGGCATTTAAGTTACTTTTTGTCTTGTGATTTGAATGTGAGCATTTATCTGTATCCTCAGCTACAGGGACAGTCTAACCATTAGCATGAATGGCTGATGTAGCATTAGAGTTATATAGAAAATAAAACTGCTCCTTCCCACATTTAATTCGGTTCCCAGGTCAGATGAGACTTCGCCTTTCTCTGTTCGGACCAAAGGTATCATATGCTGTCTATCATTTGACATACTACGTTTCCCAATTATCATTCCCAAATAATGGTGAGTTAGTTATGTTTCCCTCAATCTGTACTTGCTTTTCTGTTTGAAGGTTTCTTTCATGTTTGCGGAGGCACTTATCAACGGTTTTCCTTGTTCACAGTACTCATATTTGAAGATTCTATTAACCATATGTCTTCCTGGCTAATCTAAGTTGACTTTTTCTTTCTTACATGATTAATTCCATAAATTCAGCAACTCATCTCACGAGTAGGGTTTAGCCCTGGCTTTGTGCCCGTTTGTATTTAGCACTGTGTCGTCTATTGTCTTTTAGTCAGTTTACAATCCATCTCTGTGTGTAATGTCTCTTATAGAGATTATTCTGTTGTTCTTTCCTGGCTATCCCTTCTCTGTTTATTTCAAGCATGTTACTAAACTGGCTGTACACGCTTCCATCAAATCAGGTGGCATATTGTTCATATCAGGCAACTGTCCTTCTCTATTTTCTGTACATGATGAAGACAGTTGAACAATCTATTAAAGGTTCCTCTTTGCTGTTTACAACTTTGTCAATGACTTCTCTCAACTGGACATCATCAACACAATCGATTATGTCCTTAAGTTGAGCACACCTAGCAGTGAAGTCACCGCATGCATACAAAAGTCCTTCATTGTGGTATTGAACAGGAAATGTTCACTGTCAATAACACGAGACGATGGTGCTTGGGGTAGGTAGCAGCTGCAAAGACAGAGGTCAGGTTCTCCTTTCTTGTTGACTATAATCCAGAGAATGTCTTCCTCATTGGTATCAAGGGACTTTACCTTCAAGATGGTTTCTTACCAAGAACACCACTCCTTCAGAGCCCCGCTCAGCATGCCTATTAAAATGAATCCTGTTATTACCAAACCATTAATATTTCACAATTAGTAGAAACGTCTCACTGATACCCAAGATATCATCTTTGAGATTATAATGTCTTTAGTATTTGCAGATAGCCTTATTTTACCCCTCTAGTGTTCTACACACCAAGCCCTATCCTGAGCTTTTGGAGTAGCGTTAGGAACGACAAGTGAGTGAGTGAGTTTTTAAGCCGCATTTAGCAATATTCCAGCAATATCACGGCAGGGGACACCGGAAAATGGGCTTCATACATTGTACCCATGTGGGTAATCGAAACTGGGTCTTCGGTGTGACGAGCAAACGCTTTAACCACAAGGGTACTCATCGCCCATTCATCAGTTTAAGTGTATTAACTCTCCCTGAACTCATACGAGGCTGGTAAAAAATCAGCATAGTAGGCACCGGTAAACGTCTTTTTACTTTCTATGTAATCAACGAGGATCACACCCTTTGCATCCCACAATACAGTGGCCATAACTTTCTTTACTGATCTTGACTTGAATCACTTTGGTGCAGGAGTTGAATGGTGCCATCCCATGGATTGACGTTTTGACTCGGGATCATAATGGTTGACCCCTGTTTCATCTCCTGTTACTAATCTCTTTTTGAATTTGACGAAATCCTCCTCAATTAGCTCTAAATTCTTCTCTGGCAATGTCAGTTCTTTTGTTCTTAAGATCAGAATTTAGAAACTTTGGCACCCAACAATCAGATATCTTATTCATCTGTAAATGTTCATGAATAATATTTTCAATGGATCCATTGCTTAGACATGCGTCTTCCTCAAGTTCAGAAATGGTAATCCGTCTATCTGACAGTATACGTTTTTTCTGTCTCCTTGATTGAATCTTCATTGATGGAAGTTGAGGAACGTCAAGACCTAGGGTCAACATCAAGTCTTATTCTCCCAACAAGACTCAATGTACTACATTGACTAGTCACTTTGTTATGGCCCATAGTTCAAAGTTAGTCAGGCTTAGAACCTTTTGACCAGCCCTCGTATTTTGGATAAATGTTCTGGGGATAGCTTCCGCTTTCAGTTCTTCCTGCCATTTCATGTAGTTGGAGAGCTTATTTGTGAAATCTTCCCTAACTTTGTTTCTTCCTACTTCTACACTGTGTTTAATCAAGGTAGAGAGGTTTGTGTGGAGATTTGTTTCTGGACTACACAGACTAATGTCCATATCCTTTACTGCTTTCTGTAGATCAGAAGCTGACGAGCCAACTGCTTGTAAAATAGCAGAGGAAATACCATCATCATCTTGGCTGTCTTGCTTCTTCCTACTTCTACACAGTAAAAGGTGACTTTGCTTGTCGTAAATGGCGACTAACGGGATCGGGTGGTCAGGCTCGCTGACTTGGTGGATGCATGTCATCGAACCAATTGCGTGGATCGATGCTCATGATATTAATCACTGGATTGTCTGGTCCAGACTCGATTATTTACAGACCGCCGTCATATAGCTGGAATATTGCTGAGTGCGGCGTTAAACAACAAACCAAACAACCAACTACTTCTACACTGTGTTTAATCAAGGTCGAGCGGTTTGTGTGGAGATTTGTTTCTGGAAGCTGAAGCGCCAACTGCTTGTAAAATAGCAGCGGAATTACCATCATCATCTTGGCTGTCGTTCCACCCTTTTCAGCCATGACAGTAGACGAGCTGTCACTGTTTACGTCTTTTTATTTCTTCTTTTCACCACTTGCATGGCTTTCACCGCTCAAATTTCGCTTTCGAGATGAGCCTGGTTTGACTGTAGACACGCACATGTACGTCTTGTGGTATCTAAACACTCAGTATATTTTCAAAAGTTTGTGATTTTGTGAGCTCGATGTGACAGTCCTCGGCTCAACAATTCTTTTGGTAGTTGACTTAATTCCCCAATCCACCCAAAGTCCCCAATTGGAGTTCTATTGTACACTGCGAATTCAGGGTAAGGCTTCCTCCCCGGCAACCTATGCTGGTCGCAAGATGTTTGTTTATTTGTTTCTTTGTTATTTACCACAATCAGAAATATGTCAGCTATATGACAGCGGTCTGTAAATAATCGAGTCTGGACCAGGTAATCCAGTGATTGACATCATGAGCATCGCTACACAGGACTTGGTGAATTGGTTGATAGCGTGACATCGTACCCTGACGGCGCGTATCGTTGCTCTTTGCACATTGTATGGCCCAGGTTCGATCATTTACAAGCCGACGTCATTTTGTTAAATATTAATGAGTAGGGGGGTAAAAAAAGAAGTTTGTGATCATTATGTTATTGCAATGTCGTGTATTACATACGTAGGTGCTGTTTATATGCCATTTCTGGGACTGAACTTGTGTTCTATAACTGCCTGAATAATCGGCCTTTACATCCACACATGACGCAGATCCTTTTGCCAACCTCGCTCCTTTCCGTCAATTTCCGTAATCGCAAAGAAGGCTCGGCTCTGAGTGTAGGACCTGGGGCAACTTCTGTCCCAACAGTAAACAGACATCTAAACGCGATCTCGGATGTTCGTTTTGCACGTAAACGTGTCATCTGTGTTTACTTTTCGTTAGTCCTATATATACCTTATACCTTATATATATACCTAATTTAGAAGAATTAATACTAATATTCCCAGTAAACTCGTATACAACAACGTTTCGAAAATATAGTTCCTACAACATGATGTAAACAATATAAATTGCTCAGGGTCCAGACCGGGCCTAACGGGGTATTCTGGTTAGCGTAAATACCTAAAATGAAACAATAAAAATTACGATGAGACACATAACTTATGCAAACAGCAGCTTTTGCCACATAAGATGCAATTTCTTACCTCAGACAAGTCATTCAATTCTGTCGTCTGCACGCTAGGGTGTTTACATCACGTGACGGTCATGTGGTCAAATTAGGCCTGTCTTACAGACCCGTGAAGATCCGAGGTAGAATAGGTCTTCAGGAACCCATGCTTGCCGTAAAAGGCAATTATGCTTGCCGTAAAAGGCGACTATGCTTACCGTAAAATGCGACAAACGGGATCGAGTGGTCAGGCTCGCTGACTTGGTTGATGCATGTCATCGATCCCAATTGCGTGAATCGATGCTCATGATGTAAATCACTGAATTGTCTGGTCCAGACTCGATTATTTACAGACCGCCGTCATATAGCTGGAATATTACTGAGTGCGGCGTCTTACAATGGCCACGAGTCACCTCATGATCAGAGGCATATTTTCACCGAAAACAGCCAAACGTGTTCAGATAAGACTCAGATATTACAGAGTAGTCCTACTCGTATTAGAACGTATACACGTTAACATTATCACACCGATAACGATAACATCATCTGTGGAACGGAGTCATAGTTTCCGTTACATTCGGCTCGTCTCGGTCGAATTAGGACCTCGGCCGACACTGGCTGGAATCCATATTGGAACTAGTTTCGTGGACGTGACTGTCACATGACACGTCACAACCTTCGTGACTGTTCCCACTTTATCCGGTGGCTGTGGTCTTGGAATCAAAGTGAATACATGTCGTCTGTCAAGCGCGGAATAACATGTAGTCAAAAACGGCCGTCACAGTATACGAAATATTTTCGGCTGTATTTGGTGTCACTCGGTTTGAAATGAACTCGTTGCACTGGATAAATGATAACACTCATATCAGATTAAGATTAATATATTTACTCACTGTGGTACATTGTACAATAATTACATACATTTACATTACATACAACTATGATAATCTGGGTTACAACACTTGGGCATCAAATATTCGGGTACTTTTGTTCTCAAATGGCTTTGGCTATGCTTGGATTTATCAGGGAGTTGGTAACACCTGTATGTTTGTAAATATGTTCAAAGAAAGAATTGTAAATACCTTTTATCAAACATGGATGTCTAATTCAAATGCAAGTAGCAGATATGAAGTGTATAGATCATTCAAATCCTTACTGGAGCCTGAAAAATATTTAAAAAATAAAAAAATAATTTAAATCTTCGTTCAACATTAACGCGTTTTCGTATGGGACTGAGTGATATTAGAGTAAATACCGGAAGAAGACAAAATACGTTAAAATCTATGCGTTTGTGTCCATTATGTGATATGGGTGTTGAGGACGAATTTCATGTACTTTTTATCTGTGAGTCTTACCAAGATATCCGAAAACGTTTTATACCCGCTAAATACCTTAAACAGCAATGTAACACATCCCTTATATCACCTATGTCTAATCAATCTTCTGGTGTAATCTACAGCCGAGCTCAATTTCTCCATCAAGCACTCAATATTCGCCAAGAACTTGTAAATACAAATGTCTCCCAGAATGCACATATGTTGAAAGTATGTATACATTGTAAGTGTTGTATATAGGCCGGAGGCCTTTCATACAATAAACTTCTTGTCTTGTCTTGTCATAAATATAGATGGAACAATTTAAAACGTTGTATGTACACATCACAAAAGTCGCTTTGTTAAAAAATGCCCTGGATACTTTATCGTGAAGCCACCTCGAGGCACCAGTTCTTTCCAAGTGGGTCAATCAGTTATTGACCAAGATTATAACACAAGACTGAAGTTGAAAGACGTAAGTGTGTTATAAGCTATTATAGCTAAAATGGATAGAATCATCATAAACCGCCCGCATGTTATCAGAAATCGGCGGGCCACTGTAACTTGATAATTCCCTCATATTGCTTAACGACGGGCCATTATCACTCCCGTTGTTAGGTGACGTCACAGGGTATGGAAAGTGACGTCACGTTTAATAGTGACGTCATCTGGTTTGTTCTATGACGTTTCCATATTTGTAAAAGTGGGTTGGTGACATTCGTGTTGATTGCAGTAAATGTTTCAAAACCGATATTGTTGTTGCTTTTTATTTGATAACAAATGCAATCCATTTTAGCTATAATAACGGTAACGCTCTTTTTCAGGGCATTATCATTTGCAGAAGCCCTCGGTCTTTTAAACTGCCCTCCTTCGTCGGGCAGTTAATGGAAGACCTCGGGCTTCTGCAAATGATAATGCCCTGAAAAATAGCGTTACCCTTATACCAAACATGCAGATTGATTCAGCATTATTGCATCTTGATCGTGGTTGTGACGGAGAATTTGCTACATTTTCAGCACATTGAACATAATTATACAGAATATACAGTTACTGAAAGATCACAGGGGCGACACCGACACCGAGTTTTTTTACCAAGAAGTTGCATATCCTGTAGTGCATTTATAATGCGCCAGATTCCATTCACCAAGTGGATGCTCATAGCGCTACACTATTATTACCCCGGTCAATGGATCAGTGAGCACTCGATTTTCATTCTCAGCTCCCTGGGGAGTATATAACCCAAGACGCCCGTGAGGCGCTAGAAGGGTAACAACCTCATCACCATCTCATCCTACCGGGTACCCACTCACTGCTGGGTGAACAGAGGCACATTTCGAACAAAGTCACTTGCCTAAGGAGACACCACGTGTGGTACATCTGCTTCAGTGTGGGGCAGGACCGAAGCCCTAGAAACTCTCAGGAGTAAAGCTGCTGAACGTGGTCATCCATCCAACTACTCTCCGTTAACGCGATTACTAGCTGGGGATTACGTACATCACTATGACTACTGTACACTGTGCACCACTATAGTACAAAAACTACTTGATAAACAAGGAACTTCATGTGAAGAAGGAGCTAACACTAACGTTAATAACAATAAACAATAATAATAACAATTAACATTTTGAATAACTGATCAGGGTTAAATAACTGATGAGAATTTACATGTCCACATGTCCCACCTTGAATGAAGGTTTGGTTTTAGCATCAGAATGTCTCTATAATTAGACAAGGCGTTTATCAGAGGCAGTTTAGTCGAGCATTTTTAGGATTTAGTTATAAAAGGTAGTCTTTTCATAGATTTGTTTCTTCCGGAGTTTGATGGATCTGGAGCTTTTTCAAGACAGATAATTAAGCCATCTATCAATAAAGATCACACCGGGATGTGCGCGTGTGTGCGCGTGTGTGCGCGTGTGTGCGCGTGTGCGTGTGTGTGCGCTTGTGTGCGCGTGGAGCTTTTCAAGACAGATACTTAAGCCATCTATCAATAAAGATCACACCGGGATGTGCGCGGGTGTGCGCGTGTGTGCGCGTGTGCTTGTATATATCTCGGAAGGTTCTCAGATCCGATGTTAGTCCTAGGAATGCGTTAATAGTTTTTCAGAGAGTTGTTTTTAAAAGTTTCAAAAGGTTTAAGGGTACAACGATGATCAGGGTTTTTTATAAGGCAGGTTTTTATTGAAGGATTGTAACCTTGATCTGTCATCAACTGGACCCACCATCGTTGTTGCCACTGGATCCACTATTGCCACCATAACCATTATTATTTGTGAACAGTTCAGTTGTTGTCGCCGACGTCGATGTTGCAATGCTGTTGATACCGGTTGCTGCTGTGTTTCCAGACGCCATTGTGTCGTCCGTAGTACTAGATGTCGTGGCTGCTGTTGGTGACGTAGAGGGTGTGAAATCTATCGGAGTCATCACAGACAAGTCTATAAAAAGATGTAGCAGCCAACATGAGCCGGAATCAATAACACATTCTCATAAAAAGAGTGAGTGAGTGAGTTTGGTTTTACGCCGCTTTTAGCAATATTCCAGCAATATCACGGCGAGGTGAGGTGAGGTGAAATTGGGTTTAACGTCCCATCCAATATTATTGCGATTATAAAGCGACGTGCAAGTGTGTGTCTGTCTGCTTGTACTAGTCCGGACTGATGCCGATTAATAGTGCTAGCACACTGAGATACCATGCCGCAGTTTAACATGAATACCCCACTCAGAAACAGTTTACTGACTCCGAGCCGCCCAGTCCTTGTTTTAGCCCCATAATGCCGAGCGCCTGACATGGTAACAATAAGTACCATTTTTGAACGTCTATTGTAATGACGCAGCCTGGATCGAACATCGGATCATCCGCTCTCCGGGCGGACGCTCTACCACTAGACCACGTAGGCTGTCTTATTGAATAAGTAAATAAGCATGTTTACAAACCATGAAGTCAGGGGAAGAGGTTTTTTAAAGCCTTTACGAAAAAAGGAGTGAGTGATTGAATGTTGTTACTGTAACATTAATATTATTTTGATTAAAACTGTGTGCCTGATATGTTTTTTTGAAAAAACCACCTCGCAACAATGTAATTTAATCTTTGTCGCAAAGATTTTCTTTTTTTCAACATAATTACCTTTTTCACGAATTTTCAGGGGCAGACTATCAAATGGTCGGTCCCACAGAACAATGTCCTAAGTACTCGGGGTACGATGACACAGCCACATAGTCTGACACAGTCTGACCAGCCGATCCCAAATAGTCACATCTTACAAGAGAGAGGTGGGAATTTATTCTCAACCCGTCTCATGCCCATGTGTCAGGATTAAATCACTCCCCTTAAATTTCACTTCTGTCCTGGGAAAGAATCACTCTAGACTGACCTGACCTGGTCATTCCTTGAACTGATACACTCTACAGTGACCCGACCTGGTCATTCCTTGAACTGATCCACTCTAGAGTGACCTGATCTGGTCATTCCTTGAACGGATACACTCTAGAGTGACCTGATCTGGTCATTCCTTGAACTGATACACTCTAGAGTGACCTGATCTGGTCATTCCTTGAACGGATACACTCTAGAGTGACCTGATCTGGTCATTCCTTGAACTGATACACTCTAGAGTGACCTGATCTGGTCATTCCTTGAACTGATACACACTAGAGTGACCTGATCTGGTCATTCCTTGAACTGATACACTCTAGAGTGGCCTGATCTGGTCATTCCTTGAACTGATACACTTAAGAGTGACCTGATCTGGTAATTCCTTGAACTGATACACTCTAGAGTGACCTGATCTGGTCATTCCTTGAACTGATACACACTAGAGTGACCTGATCTGGTCATTCCTTGAACTGATACACTCTAGAGTGACCTGATCTGGTCATTCCTTGAACTGATACACTCTAGACTGACCTGACCTGGTCATTCCTTGAACTGATACACTCTAGAGTGACCTGACCTGGTCATTCCTTGAACTGATACACTCTACAGTGATCCGACCTGGTAATTCCTTGAACTGATACACTCAAGAGTGACCTGATGTGGTAATTCCTTGAACTGATACACTCTAGAGTGACCTGATCTGGTCATTCCTTGAACTGATACACACTAGAGTGACCTGATCTGGTCATTACTTGAACTGATTCACCACAGAGTTACCTGATCTGGTCATTCCTTGAACTGATACACTCTAGAGTGACCTGATCTGGTCATTCCTTGAACTGATACACTCTAGACTGATCTGACCTGGTCATTCCTTGAACTGATACACTCTAGAGTGACCCGACCTGTTCATTCCTTGAACTGATACACTCTAGAGTGACCTGATCTGGTCATTCCTTGAACTGATACACACTAGAGTGACCTTACCTGGTCATTCCTTGAACTGATACACCACAGAGTAACTTGATCTGGTCATTCCTTGAACTGATACACTCTAGAGTGACCTGATCTGGTCATTCCTTGAACTGATACACACTAGAGTGACCTTACCTGGTCATTCCTTGAACTGATACACCACAGAGTAACTTGATCTGGTCATTCCTTGAACTGATACACCACAGAGTTACCTGATCTGGTCATTCCTTGAACTGATACACTCTAGAGTGACCTGACCTGGTCATTCCTTGAACTGATACCCTCTAGAGTGACCTGATCTGGTCATTCCTTGAACTGATACACTCTAGAGTGACCTGACCTGGTCACTCCTTGAACGGATACACTCTAGAGTGACCTGATCTGGTCATTCCTTGAACTGATACACCCTAGAGTGACCTGATCTGGTCATTCCTTGAACTGATACACTCTAGAGTGACCTGATCTGGTCATTCCTTGAACTGATACACTCTAGAGTGACCTGACCTGGTCACTCCTTGAACGGATACACTCTAGAGTGACCTGATCTGGTCATTCCTTGAACTGATACACCCTAGAGTGACCTGATCTGGTCATTCCTTGAACTGACACACCCTAGAGTGACCTGATCTGGTCATTCCTTGAACTGATACACTCTAGAGTGACCTGATCTGGTCATTTCTTGAACTGATACACTCTAGAGTGACATTATCCTCGGATCACTCCCCTCTCAGGATGAAGACACTCCCTTCATGATATAATAAATCCCCCTCAACTGCGAGTTTTCATCCCGCAAAATGGTGGCGTATTGTGATCCCGAGGGTAGTGACTTGATCCGAGTATAAATCACTCTAGAGTGTGTCAGTTCAAGGAGTGACCAGATCCTCCTACACCGGGTGGGGTGGGGGTGGGGGTTATGGGGACCTATGACTCAAGCGATGCAACATATAAATATATGTCTCAAGTGATGCAATACATGAACATATGTCTCAAGTGATGTAGGGGAGGTGGGGTAGCATAGTGGTTAAAGCGTTGGCTCGTCACGCTGAGGGCCCGGGTTCGATTCCCGACATGGGTACAATGTGTGAAGCCCATTTCTGGTGTCCCCCGCCGTGATATTGCTGGAATAAGTGCTTAAAAGCGGCGTAAAACCATACTCACTCACTCACTCACTTCATCCAAAGGATGTTAACTTAAAATTGAAATATACCAAGAAGAGGTCAATGGGCCCAAATTCAGTGTGTAGGCTTTAGCTGTAAATAGTCGGTCTAAAAGTTTTATTTCTGTGGCGCTTAGGTATTGTGCTGACAAACAAGAATAATGTAGTTATGTAGTTCAAATGAAAACAATTTTGCTGCATTGTGATTTGACCATACCCAAATAAGCACGTTCTGGCACTGTCGTAGGTGGATATCAATAACTTGGAATCTCTTCAAATGTTGACACAAAATCATAAATATTTTGGGGGATATTTTTATGAAATTGCGTGCTCAGTCTTCACCCCAGAAACATTCATGTTTCCGTATCTTAGTTCTGTATATGATACTATGATATAGTTTGTTTGTTTGTTGTTTAACACCGCACTCAGCAATATTCCAGCTATATGACGGCGGTCTGTCAATAAACGAGTCAGGACCAGACAATCCAGTGATTGATATCACGAGCATCGATCTACACAAATGGGATACGATGACATGCATCAACCACGTCAGCGAGTCTGACCACCCGATCCCGTTAGTCGCCTTATGCGATAAGCATAGGCGTCAGTTACGGAAGCATGGTTGCTGAAGACCTATTGTAACCCGCATCTTCACGGGTAAAACTATGATATCGAAACACACAAGTTAATCATTTTTATTGAATGTATGGTAAGATATGTAAAAATAATTTCCTGAGTGCCTTTAAGAAAGGTATAATTTAGCGTTCATTGTACACAGCTCTTGTCTTCTGCAGGACTCCGTGTATGACAGTATAATGTCAGGTTTGTGCATCAATACTCAACATAATAGCAGACAGTTCTTCCCCATTGGCAGTATTGTCCCTCTCCGGTCAGAAATAGCCTAGCAACCAGAGATACTGGGACATTTATCTCTGTTCCTGATATTGTTCTATGAGGACACACGTTGGCTGACAGGATATACACTTCCTGGAGGATCACTGACATAGGGGATCACAGTATACTGACCCCGAGCCGACCAGTCCTTGTTTTAGCCCCTTAATGCCGAGCGCCAGACAGGGTAACAACAAGTACCATCTTTTAAAGTCTTTTGGCATGACGCGGCCGGGGATCGAACCCCGGACCTTCCGCTCTCCGGGCGGACGCTCTATCACTAAACCACGGAGGCGGTATTGTTTTTAGTTAGTGAGTGAGTATGGTTTTACGCCATTTTTAGCAATTTTCCAGCAATATTACGGCGGGGGACACCGGAAATTGGACTTCACATATTGTACCCACGTGGGGAATCGGACCCGGGTCTTCGACTTGACGAGCAAACACTTTAACCACTTGGTCCTCAAATTAAGTAAAAACAAGTAATTGATTTAAAGTATGAATAAAATGATTAACAGCGTTTATAGGTCAATCATTTCGTTACCGAAAAACCAAATTCATCAAAGGACAGAGAAATCTTTATTTATCTATATATTTGTTTAAGATTGTCAGCGTTTCAAAACAAACAATTTATTTCTATAAAAGAGGAAGCCAAACACAACACATTACTTTTTAGAACATTTAACTTGGCCAGTGAATGATTTATATATTTGAAAGAAATAATTCGTGAAGAATTTGCAAAATTATTACAGAAAATAGATATTATAGATATACTCCTGTACAGGAATAAGCTAATATCAAGTCGTTATGATTATGACATATTGATATCGTTATAAGCAAAACAAAAAAATACAAAATAATAATAAAGAACGTTATGAAGTATTTTGCTGAGGAACTGTCAAGATGTAGAGAGTTGAGGTACGTACTCCGTCGTTGGTCACATACCGATACGTCGCA